TCCACAGCGAGTTCTCAGAAGAGGGACGTTACGCATCGAAAACAGTTGGTCTTAAAAAAACAACACTCAAATTGTTTTTGGTCTAAACATTATTTTCTCAAAGCATCTTTAGACGCCTCTGGGATCCGAGTATTAAAACATATATGCTTACAGATCCACACTTCAAGGGCTTAAACTCCTTTTCTTGACCAGTATTGGCTATATTTCTTTTTTTATATAATAATAATTTTTTTTATAAATGTCTAGCTCATTATACATAAAACACCGTGCGATAGTAAATTTTACACAAACAAATCTATATATTCGCGAAACCATGGGCCAAATATAGTAAAATTGCGTTTTTAATTTTTCACTCTGGCGTCATTAAGTCAAAAATGAACTAAAAAATTTTGTGAAATGTGCTCAGAGAGAAAGTGTGGGTATCAAATTATGTAGAATTTAAACAGATTAAATTTTTAGTGCATAAGGACTGGTATTTAAGTATTGAAAATGTCCGTTTAAAATTTTATCCTTGCAATTTCGCAATATTTGTTTTTGAAAAAATTATATGTTAAGGACTTACATGAACTCGATAACATCCCCGAATTTCGTCCTTCTAATTTTATCAGCATAAAAAATTACTTATTCGTCCGTGTGAGTCCGGGTGAGGTCTCGACCCTATTAAGCTGACATTTCAGGGTACTATTTTATATATATATAAGGAAAATTTGAAAGTTAGGGGGGGCTCGAGCACCCCTGCCCCTACCTGGCTACGCCCATGACTTGCAGCAAAAATTAAAATTGCTAGTGCAGCACGAGAAAATTGCATATGTTTTTCAAAAGCAATTTTCGTTCCTTCAGTTGTTCACAGTGTAAAAGTGTAAGTTTTATTTCGGAAATTGATTTTGAAAATTGACAAACGTTATTTTCGGGGATTCTCGCTTTCGTCGTCTGACAGAAAAATGCATAAAAAAGTACTTGCTTTGCCACATCTAACTGCACTTCAACGTAATATAGAAAAAAGGGATCACTATTCGGTACGGTATACCGTTCGAGATTTCTACACATGGCAGTATTTAACAAAAAAAAACTTGAAAAAAGCGATACATAAGTATGTAAGTACATATGTTCATCTGTGTAATATACAAATATGTGAGTAAAAACTAAATAATAGGGCTTGTTTTTTTTCGATAAAAATGAATGGTTCTATGAGAAGCCATGAAAATATTGCACACATTTTCAAATAAATAAACCTTTTCTCTAAACGAGTGGGAAAAATTCATATCTATTTGCGAACGCAAATTATTGATATTAGCGCAGTTCGATGACAAGCAAATATTTACCTTTTTTTAGGCTTATCAAAACCAATGTATGCCAATATGTAATGTATTTACAAACACGACATACAATAAAACCATAAATGAAAAAATACTTCCACATAAATATGTATGTATGTACATTAAGGGTGCCCTTATTTTTACAAATCAAAATTTCGACGGGCGCCGCTCGAATATTTGTGTTTTTTTTCGTCTGAAAGACTTACAGTAAAAGTTTGGAGTCGATAGGATAACGCTTGACAGAAACGAAAATGAATTAATAAAGGAAATATGTGTTTTGCTTCAGAAATGAAGTTATTTTATTATTGATATGGATGTATTATTATATATTTGTATTTGTGTTATACTATTTTATTTACAGAATTTCATAAATTCATATTAAAAACTCATGTTGGATTAAATAACACTCTTTACATGTGTGAACTATGCATTTATTTTACCTCTCAAAAATACATAGATGAACACATTATTTAGATTCTTAAACTAAATCTGATTTCTTGCAAGAAGAGTATCTCTTTCGATCGGCTTCAAGAACCTGAAGCTACGCGCGGATGCATCGATTAAAGAAAAAAAAACGCAAAAAAAACTATAAAGCATGAAATTGATCAAAACTTTAGCGTAAAAGGCATGTATTTTCTAGGCAGTTATTGTTCCATCCAAAAAGGTCTCACTTTTTGTATTTTGTGCATAGAAAATGCTGTCATGGCTGTGTTTTTTACGTTGCTAGTAATTTTGGTTTGCTTTTATTTTCTTTGCTTAGCTTGTCTTATTTAACATAAAGTGCACTACATCATTTTCACGTAGTGACAACTGCAGAAAGCAGCATCGTAACTCTTCTGTGCTAGGGAAACTAGAAAGCCACGAATGACAGTCGGCAATAAGGGAAACTGTTAGCAATCTAGTCAACTTAAAATGCAGCTGACAGCTTAACTTAAAGTTTTAGTATGTATGTATATTAAGCTTTTAATTACCCAGTCGGCAAAATTGGTAGCGATAAACGTTTTCAGGAAGGGCTTTTCATTAAAATGTTTACATAAAAAGGAGTAAAGATTAGAGAAATTAAAGCTTATCAATTCAAAGATAGTACTAGCTCACAGAAGGCCTAATTCTTTGTTATTTTGCCGAATAGGTACTCGTCCGTATTATTGGTACATTAAACACAAACAAGCAAAATTTCATTTATGGTGGAGCACGTACGTAGTACTGCTGTGATTTTTCATACTTTGGCGTGCCAAAGGCCTCATCTACCGAAGAATTCAGTGCGAACTGTCAACTAAAACGTCTTGCACATTTCTTCAAGTCTGACAAGAAGCCATCACAGAATGTTATTTTCAGCCTTTCATCTAGCTTCGTTGCATTTGCCAGTGGGGGAATCTCAAAATTGAGATCTCTGATATGAGGATTCCCGGGATTGACCTGACGCAGTTAACCACGCTCGTTTGTTAGTACGGTAGCCTCAGTCGCAAAGTTCGTACGAATTTTCACTCGACGCCTAGGTGGGATGAAGCGTGCCGCAGCAAAATAGTGGTCTATTGCGGGGCTGCTGTTGGCCAACATGGACGTCTCTTGGTGTGGAGATATCTAGGAAGACGTGTCGGTAGGATAGTATATAGTTAGTCGATAACGGCATTAGACAAGACCGGAATTGCAGTTGACTGATAGCATGTTTCGATATACTCTGTCTGCTATATAATGAAGACTGGTTAGCAATTCACGCAGGAGTTCGAGAGTGTAGTACGTGGCAGAGCGTGTATAAGGTGTGTTCAGATGAGCTCCGTGGAGCCGAAGGGTCCCCTTGTTTGCCTGCTTGCATCGTCTTGTTGCGAGATGTGGAGGGCGTGGAAGCAGGAGATGATATGTGGGGCATGCCGAGTCATTCCAGCGTGCAGAATCAGTTAAATATTAGTGGGCACCTCTAGTAAATCATTCATTTCGCTATATACATATAGAATGGAATTCAGTATTTATATCGTCCTTATAATGCAGATTGTGTATGTGGTATTATTTTTGGAAATTAGTTTTTCAAATACTCCGCTAGCTTACTCTAAGATAATAAAAAATTAAAACCCATATCTTAAGAAATGTGATATTTGTAAGCATCCTTGGATCAGATCCGTAAGCATTTTCTTGTTAATTTGTTAAAAAGTTGTTTGCTTTTATTGTAAAGATTGAAATTTGTCAAATCATTAGGATAGTTTTCATTTATTATGACGATATTTAAGTATGTAGGTTATAGTATATGTGTTTAGGAACCTATAATATATGTATATAAAAAGTAGGTACTGATTATACAGCTTCTAACTAAAAGTTTCTAAACAATTAGGGGGTTCATAAGACATGTTAACCGTCGTTAAATCTTAACATTTTTTAGAGGATTTTTTACCATACCGAAATGTTTTTAAACTGATCAAAATATATAACTGGTACCCCACCATTTTAAGCATTATTTTACATAAATTTAAGCTTAACATGTTACGACGGTTAACACGTCTTGTGAATCCCTTAAATCTAACTTCAGTTTAAAGATAAAAAATAATAAAAACAAAAACCAAAATTGACGGTGATTGGAAGAACAATTTAAAATAGAAATACGCAAAGGCTCTGAGGAGTGGAGTTATCAATTTTATAACCGACAGCATAATTTGCATATTGTATAAAAAAAAAACTTCAAAAAAAATTATTTGCCATACATACATCTTTATTTTATAGCATTCATCACTAAAACTAAACAACAATTTGGAAGCTTGTTTCTGTGTGCATAAAGAATTAAAAATAGAACTATTAGTAGTTACATATTTTATGTGAAATATTGACTATAATAAGCGTCAGAAGAATGTAAATCTACAAAACTCGAGGGCTGTAAATTCAAAACTGGTAACTGAATTTTTCGATTTTCCAATAACATAATTCCGACCTACAATAAAAATTAATTCATAAGCACATATCAGGCTATTCGTAAAAAAAAAAAACTTGATTGCATATGTACGCATTCTTTTGACGCGCATTATACTTCATATATTTTCAAATGTTTGTATGTATGTATGAAAGTCATATTCGTTGAAGCTATTTATGCAGCTGAAAGTGCTTGTAGGCAATGTATGTATGTTTGTTATTTCGATGTATTAAAAAAAAAAACGAATTACCAAAATAATATTGTCGTAACCAATGCAATGCTTACTATTAAAATACATTATTACACTGAAAAGAAGCTATGCATAAGAATAAAACAAATTAATTAACAAAAGTTTAATCAATTTTCATTTCTTTTGCAAAAACGCATATGTTCCTACACATTCAACAACATACACAACTGCCGCTGATGATGAATTTGCCAATGCCAACCAACTGTGCAACAAATTATTCAACAACAGCCAATCCCACCCTGTATGCACATTACGTTTTCAACACACTCGATCAGGATCACAGCGGCATTGTTAGCTTTGAGGTAAGTGGTAAAGCGCAAATGCATACTAAAATATGTACCCATACATCATGCTTACTCGTATATATGTACATTAGGGTGGTCTAAAGGAGTAAAATCGCATTTTTTTTAATGCTCTAACCGCTTAAAACTGTTCTATATTGAAAAAATATGTACCCCTATTTTTTTTATTTTGAAATCAAAAAATACTTAGTGGTCGCTCAAAGCGCGCAAAGTTGTCTATGTACATCAGTGATGTGCTAAATTTTCGGTACCCAATACCGATTCTTTACATTATCAGTTTTTATCTTAGTATGTCGAAGGTTCAAGAAAACTGCTTTGACAGATGGAGAAACCTTTCAGGCCTTCAAAGATAATATCGTCCGATTCATCTAGAACAAAAATTCTTCAGACAAGATAGAGTTCCTCTGCATTTTGGCGACGGACCGGCATACATATGTATATACAGTTCTCATTTGAATCAGTATCGGCTTTTAATAAGCAAGTCTCCCCATAACAAGTTTTTTTCCATATTTTTGGCCGATGTGCGTTTTTATGGAGACCTAAATATTTCGGTACCGAGTATCGAAAGTATTGGATACTTTTTAAACCGGTACCAAGTATCGATTCAGCATATCACTAATGTACATACTTTACATAAATGGGGAAAACCCACTCTTAGTAGAAATGACATGGAATTATTGAAAATCAATATTTTTCAATCTGGTTCTCTTCAGGAGACACCTTCATTAACAATACCCAATTGTTTATTTAACCATTTTTTAATACTAACGATTTTTTTCTGGTCCCCCCATTGCATTTTCTAATGTTTTTGTCGGACCTAGTACTATAAAAAAATGGCTAAGTAAAAAACTGGGTTTTATTATTGGGAATGTCGTGAAGAGAAACTGAGTTTTCGATCCGAAAATAATGATTTTCAAGAATTATATACAATTTCTACTAAAGTGGATTTTCCACGTATAAAATACATGGAAAACTTTGTGCGCTTTGACCGACCTCTAAATACATATGTACAAATGTATTTTTTGATTTCAAAATAAAAAATAAAAAATCCTAGGGCGTAAGAGCATAAAAATTCCGACTTTACTTTTTCACATGTATTTCGGGACCACCTTAATGTACATATGTGCATGCTCAAGGCAAATGCTTTCAACTCTTTGCTGGGGTACTAGAGCAAACACACATCCCAAATTAATTGCTTTTGTAATCTTACAAGGGAAAAGCGGTTTTAGTCTTTGTTACACTCGTAGACTGCGCTAAGTAATGCTCAATCTTTACCTTTTTCTCATTTTTAACTGCATATTTGTAAATATGTATCAAAAATTCCCTTTCAAAGTTAATTAAATTCCTGCAACCCAAATGCAAAGGAGAGACCAATCGATTGCATAAATTAAATTCAGAAAGAAATATTTGACGCAATTGTAAAAAGGGCATATCAACGCAAACGAATAACATTTTCCGTACGTTACGAAAATAAATTGCCTCATCACTATTACAAATGTATGCTAATTTCATTTTGGAATTTAAATGTTTTATAACCAACTGCACGAGGTGGACATTTGCCTCGGACTTCAAAATGAAAACAAACATGGAAAATTTAGGAAAAATTTACTACTTCTTGCATTCGCCTACACGATATAAGCGATTAATTTTCTAAAAAGAAAAACAAGAAATGAAAGCTATTTTTAACAAGCGTTTAATAGTTGCTTGTAAAATAGAACTAAAAACTGAAAACTAAAAAAAAAACAGGCACATTTTTTCTATTCACTTAAGTAATACAATATAAACCAAATCGGCATGTAAATACGGGTTTTCCAAAGATTTCGACACTTGCGACACCTATCAGCAAAATTTTTTGTGTAGTTGTTGATTCTCATATAAGAAATATACTATTTATCTTCTTCTTTATTGGCGCTGTAACCGCCTAGGCGATTTTGGCCGAGTCCAAAGCAGCACGCGAGTCTTTTCTCTTCTGTGCCAACTGACGCCAATTTTAAATATCATGTGAAGCCAAGTCCTTCTACACCTGGTCGTTCCAACGCAAAGGAGACCTTCCTCTTCCTCTGTTACCAGTATCGCGGCCCGCGTGGAATATTTTCAGAGCAGGAGCGTTTCTGTCCATTCGAACGACATGGCCAAGCCAGCGGAGCCGCTGAATTTTAATTCGCTGCACTATGTCTACACCGTTGTAAAGCTCATACAGCTCATCGTTAAATCGTCTGCGATATTCGCCATCACCAACGCGTAAAGGTCCGTAAATCTTTCGCAGAATCGTTCTCTAGAAAACTCCAAGAGCCGCTTAATCAGATGTTTGCATTGCCCATGCCTCCTCGCCAAACACCAGCACAGGCATGATGGGTGACGAGAGAGTACTTTACTTCTCAAATGTCCCTGAGCGGTTCAGCAGCTCTTATTATCTTTTCCAACATCAGATTAAAGAAATCACATGAAAGTCACCTTGTCTGAAGCCTCCTTTGGTATCAAACGGCTCGGAGAGGTCCTTCCCAATTCTGACGGAGCAGGTGGTATTGCTCGACGTCGATTTTACACAGCCGTATTAGTTTGGCGGGGATGCCAAATTCAGACATAGCGGCGTATATGCAGCTACCTTTAGTGCTGTCGAAAGCGGCTTTAAAGTCGGCTGATAGGTGGTGAGTGTCGATTCTTTAACTCGCGGGTCTTTTTCAATATTTTGCGCATTGTGAATACCTAACCTATGGTGGATTTTATGTATTTATTTCGGTCAAAGAAAACAAAATTCTTACTGACTATGCTATCTAGCTATGCTAACAAGGTACATATAACTTAAAGGTAATAGATAGGTGACATTATAAGATCAGAGTAGTTTTAAGATTAACTTTTTTAACGCCACTCTGGGAAGCGATATATCAATATCCTCGATATCATTGAGTTTATTAATCTCTCTAAGGGCACGACAAATCGGAGCATTCATAGCATACATTGACTCGGAGGAATGCAAATAAAAAATGTCCATGTGCCGCTAATTTCTTCGGGGAACATTGAGAGGAATTCTCCGTAGGATATCAGGGCAATCAACAATCCCAGTAAGTACGTTGAAGATAAACGAGCAAGATAATAACTTTCTTCTATCCTCAAGTGAGTTTAAATTTGTAAGCAAACAGCGCGAATTGTATGAAGGTAACTGTTCGGTAAAATTTAGAGATCTTAATGCAAACCTAATAAAAGTCTTTTGCACACGCTCAATTCTGTTTATGAGCCCAATATGAAATATGAAAGGCATCTTCAGCATTTTTTATAACAGAATAAACTTTGAGATCATCTGCATACATTAGAAATTTCGAGAACAAGAAACCGGAACTTATATCATTAATGAAAATGACAACCAAAAGGGGACCAAGAATACTACCTTGGGGGACTCCAGAGCTCGCATAGAAGCAACGGGAAAACGTATTTTCCAGTGCTACAGCGCAGTGCCTATTGTATAAATAAGAACTAATCCAATCAAGGAACTTTGAATGGAAACCCAGAGAATCTAATTTAGCGATCAAAATTTTATGTGGGACCTTGTCAAATGCCTTGAAACAGTCGGTATATACAGTATCGACTTGGTACCCAGACTCAAAACTCGCAAGGCAAGGCATTATAAGCATTCTTTTTTTTATAAAACATCGAACATGGAATATTAGATTTCTCTTTTTTTCGATTTAATGAAAGACAAGAAAGCTTTGAGATTGGTCTTTATATTCTTTTCGAAATTACTAACGTAGCTTTTATGCAGGAACTGATCAAGAGTCTTAAAAACAAACAGACAAGATAGTTCGTTGACGGTGGGCTTCAGTCTTTTACACAATACATTCGATAAGATCTTGTAACCTATGCTTAGAAGGCTGATCCCGCGGTATTGGGCGCGAATGGCGGGGTCGCTCTTCTTGTGCATTGGGCAGAGCACACTTAAATCCCAGTAGTCGGGCATGCATTCATCTGACCATATTGTGCATAAGAGTTGATGCATGCACCTTATCAGCTCCTCGCCGCCGTACTTGAATAGCTCGGCTGGCAGGCTGTGAGCTCCAGCAGCTTTGTTGTTTTTCAGCTGCGTTATGGCTATTCGTACCTGGTCATAGTCACCCCGTCATCATGGACTGCGGGCTCGGGTTCTTCTCCACACCTCCCGGGCTGCTACCATTCAGTAGGGTGGAAAAGTATTTCCTCCATAATTTAACTACGTTCTGAACATCGGTATCTAGGTCGCCATTGTTGTTCTTACAGGAGTTCGCGGTGGTCTTGAAACCTTCCGTAAGTCACCTAACTCGCTGGTATAATTTTCGGGCATTCTTCCTGTCGGCCAGCATTTCAAGCTCTTCGCACTCACGTATTTCGGCCTCTCTCTTCTTATTGCGGCAAATACGGCTCGTTTCCCTCTTCAGATCCCTACAGCGGTCCCACATAGCGCGCGTTGCGCCCGATCGCAGCGTGGCCCTGTAGACGGCATCTTTTTTCTCTACAGCTTCCTGACACTCCTCATCGTACCCCTTGTTCTTTCAAGCTCGCTGAAATCCGACTATTTCTTCGGCGGCGGTACTTAATGAGCGGGAAATGTGGCTCCACTGCTCGCGCATGTCGGTTTATTGAAGAGTGCTCTCAGAGAGCAGGTGTGAGAGTTCAGTTGTTTTATTCTGAGCTAGTTTAAAGGCTTGTTTAGTTCCTGCCGTGTTATATTTCCCTTGGTTTTATGTCCGATGCTAATCTAAATCATTGCCAAGTACATAAAGTCGTCCTAACATTTTACGCTAAAATGATCCCGAACGGACTCATTTAAGCAGGTGTTTATCGCTGTTACGCATTTCTTAATATCGCGTAACATTACAAGTCAACTATCTTGCCTTTGAAGCAGTGTTGCCAGGTTTTCGGCATGAGAAAACGTCCCTCTTGGTCTGAAGAAACATCATTTCATACCCAAAAACGTCTTTTCCATGTATGCACACAGAATTGTTCTTATTAAACTTTTATTGTACACAAAG